TGAAGGAATGAGAAGGAGAAAAGCGGCATGGTTCTTATTCCTTCCCAAGCAGTCAAGATCAGACTGCACTCCGATGTCATATAAAATAAAAAGACAAAATTAAAAAGGTAGTGCAAACCGATGTCGTCTTTTTCATTTAAAAAAAAAAAAAAACGATGTCATAGAAATTGGTAATAGAAGATGATGCAAAAAAAAAAAAAAAAAAAAAAAAAAAAAAAGATGATGTTTTCAAAAGGGGGGGGGCCAGTACAGCAGAGTCTGGTCTGAGAGAGAAACGTCCTGAGAGCATCAACTGCGCGCATTGCAGTTTCAAAATTAACCAACTTTTCACCGAAGTTTTCGTTAAATTTGAAATATTTTGCTCACGTGCTGAATAATTGAACACAAGGAAATCTATTTTTATTTTTATTTTTGTTTTTTAACTTTTATTTTTTTAGAACAAGGATATTTTTGCCTTTCCCCCTCCCCCTCCCCCTCCCCCCACCCCCAAAATTGGTGCCGGTGACAACTTGGTGTTAATGCTTACCCCGCCATTCTTCAATCAAGGAACCAAGCATCCGGAAGCGTCAAAAGTGACAACAAAAAAATCCTTGTTCAATTTCGTCGCTCGAGCAAAATACTTCCAATTTAAGGAAAACAGTCAGATTCGATGCTCTCGTGCCCTGGCCATCAAGAGCACGGAAGGTCACTCAGATCAACAATTGACCAAAAATGAACCAACCAAACTTTTTTTTTTAAATCAGAAAGAATCTCTATCTTTTTCATTTCCATTCCACCTTCAATCCATTCCTGAAAATGGTACCAATGACATCCACAGACTGGAACAGAAATGGGGACTGGGGACTGGAACCGAGATGGGACTAGAACCGAGATGGGACTGGAACCGAAATGGGACTGGAACCGAAATGGAGACTGGAACAGAAAGGGGACTGGAACCGAAATGGGGACTGGAACAGAAATGGGGTCTGGAACCGAAATGGGGACTGGAACCGAAATGGGGACTGGAACCGAAAGGGGACTGGAACCGAAAGGGGACTGGAACCGAAATGGGGATTGGAACCGAAATGTAGAACTGGAACCGAAATGGGACTGGAACCGAAATGGAACTGGAACCGAAATGGGGACTGGAACCAGGAAAGGGGACTGGAACCGAAATGGGGACTGGAACCGAAATGGGGACTGGAACCAGGAAATGGGACTGGAACCGAAATGGGACACCTGACGCAAGGCTCAGCAGCAGCATTACAACAGCATAGCAGTTGAAATTAAACCGTTGCTAGAATTCGATTAATTGACGTTTCTACTCCTGTTTAATTTTTTCATCATCATTATTATTATTATTATTATTATTATTATTATTATTGTTATTACAATTATTATTATTATTATCATATTATTACTATTATTATTATATTCATTACAAAAACAGTTCCTTATGGCCCTGTTTCCTTATCCATTCTGGAGAGCATCAGTCCTGTTCTGATCCATTGGTCTGACTGCTTCTTTTTTTTTTTTTTT